TTAAAAAATACAAATAATAATTTAGACTTCACAGACATATAGAATATTTCATCCATCAGGACTGAATACACTTTCTTCTTGGCAGACCATGGATACTTCTCTAAAATAGATAATATCTCAGGCCACAAAGCAACTCTTGCAAATACAAAAAACAGAGATAGTACCTTGCATTTTATCAGATCATAATAGAATGAAATTAGAAATCAATGATAAAATAAAGAGTAGAAGCTACTTTAACACCTGAAGACTAAATAACACACTATTGAATTACTTATAAATAGCAGAAGAAATCAGGGATGAAATAAAAAAAATAGTTAGAGGTAAATGAGAATAGCAGCACAACATATCAAAAATATCTGGGAGACTATGAAGACACTGCTAAGAGGAAAGTTCATTGGACTGAGCTCATTTATTAAAAGAATAGAAAGTCAACAAATAATTAATCTAACATTACATCTCAAAGCCCTAGAAAAAGAAGAATAAATCAACACCAAAATCAATAGAAGACAGAAAATCATTAAATCAGAGTGAAAGTCAATGAAGAAAACAAAAGAAACAATCCAAAAATGGATAAAACAAAAAGTTGATTCTTTGGAAAAATAAATAAAATTGGTGAACCCTTAGCCAAGCTAATAAAGAAAAAGAGAAAACTCCAATTACCAAAATTAATAATGAAATGAAAATGGAAATATCACAACAGACACTACTAAAATACAGATGATAATCAGAACCTATTTTGAAAATTTATTCTATAATTTAATAGAAAATCTTGAAGACAGCAATAAATGTCTAGAGACATATGATTTCCAAATTGCATCATGAGTACCTAGAAAATTTAAACAGGTCAATTACAAGCAATGAAATTGAAGACACCATTAAAAGCCTATCAAGAAAGAAAAGCCCAAGACCAGATGGATTCTCAGCCATGTTCTACCAGAACTTCAAAGAATTAACACCAATTCATGTCAAATGATTTCATGAAATAGAAAAGGAGAGAATCCTTCCAAACTCATTTTATGCAGCTAGTATCACCCTGATACCAAAACCAGACAAGGACATATCAGGAAAGAAAACTTCAGACCAATATCCCTGATGAACATAAATGCAAAAATTTTCAATTAAATTGTGGCAAATTGCATACAAAAACATATTAAAAAGACACTACACCATGATCAAGTGGAGTTCATCCCAGGGATGCAAGGTTGGCTCAACATACAGAAATCAATAAACCTAATTCATCACATTATTAGACATAAAGACAAGAATCACATGATCATCTCAATAGATGCAGAAAAAGCATCTGACAAAATTCAGCATCTATTCCTATTCAAAACACTAGAAAAACTAGGGATAGTAGAAACATACCTCAATACCTTAAAAGCTATATATGCTAAACCCCAGAGCAACATCACTCTCAGTGGAGAAAAAATTGAAAGCATTCCCTCTAAAAATTGGAACAAAACACTTTCACCACTTCCAGGAAACATAGTCCTTGAAACTCTAGGCAAAGCAGTTACAAGAAAGAAATTAAAGGGATACAAACAGGAAAAGAAGAGATCTAATTATCCCTATTTGCTGATGACATGAATCTATATTTAAAAGACACAAAAAACTCCACCAGAAAATTGCTAGACTTAAAAATGAATTCAGCATAGTATCAGGATATAAAATTAACTCCCATAAATCAATTGCATTCCTATACACAGTGATGAATCAACTGAAAGAGAAATTAGGAAAACTACCCATTCAAAATTGCCTCCAAAAAAATTGGAGAATCAAGCTGACAAAAGAGGTGAAAGACCTCTATAATGAAAATTACAGAACACTAAAGAAAGAAATTGGAGAAGACCTTAGAAGATGGAAAGATCTCCCATGTACTTGGATAGGCAGAATTAATATTGGCAAAATGGCCATAAATACAAAGTGCTATATAGATTTAATACAATTCCTATTAAAATTCCAATGATGTTGTTCATAGAAATAGAAAAAACAGTCATGAAATTCATTGGGAAAAATAAGAGGCCAAAGCAATCCTCAACAAAAAAGTGAAGCTTCACAATACCAGAACTTAAATTATACTACAGAGCTATAGTAACAAACAACGAATGGCATGTGTTTGGCACCAAACCAAACATGAAGACCAATGGTACAGAATAGAAGATATAGAGACAAACCCCCATAAATATAGTGATCTCATATCACCATAAACATACACTGGAGAAAGACAGCCTCTTCAACAAATGGTGTTGGGAAAACTGGATATCCACATGGAGCAGATTGAAATTGAACCCTGATCTCTCACTCTTCCCAAAACACAAAGTGGATCATGGACCTGGGCACTAGACCAGAGACCCTGCAACTGCTAGAAGAAAATGTAGGCCCAATTCTCCATCATGTCAGCTTAGGAACCAACTTCCTCAACAAGACTCCTAAAGTGCAAAAAATAAAATCAAGAATCAATAAATGGGATGTTATCAAACTAAAAAACTTCTTCAAAGCAAAGAAACAATGAAAAACATTCTGTAGAGATCCTACAGAATGGGAGAAAAATCTTTGCCACCTGTATATCATACAGAGCATGTATCTCTAGTATATATTAAAAACTCAAAAACTTAACACCAAGAAAACAAACAACCCAATATATAAATAGGCAAGGCAACTGCACAGACACTTCACTGAAAAAGAAATACAAATGCTCAAAAAATTATGAAAAAAAATGTTCAATATCTCTAGCAATTAGAGATTGCTACTCAGATTCCAATTCACTCTAATCAGAATGGCCATTATCAAGAATAAAAGTAACAATAAATGTTGGCGAGGATATGGGGGAAAAGATTCAATCATACATTGTTAGTGGGACTGCAAATTGGTGCAACTACTCTATAAAAAGTATGGGGATTCCTCAGAAAACTTGGAATAGAACCACCATTTGACCCACTAATCTCACTCCTCAACATATACCAAAGGGAGTTAAAAATCAGCAAACTACAGTGATGCAGCCACATTAATGTTTACAGCAGCTCAATTTACAATAGTGAAGCTATAGAACCAATCTACATGCCCTTCAACAATGAATGAATAAAGAAAATTTGGTATATGTATACCATGAAATATTATTCAGCCATAAAGAAGAATAAAACTATGGTATCTGCCAGTAAGTGCATAGAACTGGAGAATATCATGCTAAGCCAATTCCAAAAAACCAAAGTCAGAATGTTCTCTCTGATATGTGGTTGCTAACACACAATAAGGGGATGGGGGAGGAAATAACAGAAGTTCATTGAATTAAACAAAGGAGAGTGAAAGGAAAGGAGGAAGAATGGGAATAGGACAGACAGTAGAATGAACTGGACATAACTTTCCTATGTTCATATATGAATACACAACCAGTGTAACTCCACATCATATACAATCACAAGAATGGGATTCTAAGTTATACTCCATGAATGTACAATATAACAAAATACATTCTACTGTCATTTATATCTAAACAGAACAAATTTTAAAATTTTTTAAAAAGAGGTACCCTTCTGATTACTAGGGACTGGAATGCTGAGGTCAGGGTAGAAGTGTAGAAGAGGGTGAATGGATATGGTAAATGCACAATGTATGTATGTATGGAAATATCACAGGGAATTCCACTAAAATATAAATTAATATGTATTCATAATTATAGTAATTGAAAACAGGTGTTATTCTTACACTTTAAGGGAAGTATCATAGTTTTCAATTTTTTGGAAAATATTTTTATTATGCTGGGTATAGTATATAGATCTTCACACATGCTAGGTAAGCATTCTACCACTGAGGCACACAAGTCAAAACATCCTTCTCTCTGAAGACACAGGATCACAGAAAGACACTTAACCAACAGCAAGTTGCTCTTAGGTTAATATCATTAGCTCATGCTTTTCTTTTTAATCCAGTCATACCTCTCCACAGCCATCCACTTCTTCATCAAACCTCGCACAGATTTACTGACTGATTTGGGTCTATATTTTCTTATAAAGTTGTCATGTCACATAAAACATTTTAAATATATCTGTATTAATTTGTTAATCTGTCATTTACTTGACAGATAGTGATTTGTCTATCATGTAGAAGACAGACATAACATGGCTGCGGCCTCAGCCATGACATGTCTGGGCCTCAGCCATGAACCTTGTGATAGAAAGGAAAATATTTTTCCTTGCCTAAAAAACAGGCAATAAAAGTAAATACATTCAATTTACAGTAAGAAGTTTTATTCCCAAGTTCATACATAACATTCCTTTTAAAAGTATAAATAAATGTACTTGTGCAAGTTGTCATTCATGGAGGGAGGAAGAAAAATTGGAGACAAAGTAAATGAAGAGATACTTCTATTCTGATTGATTTATATCCCTCTTTGAATTGTCTTATTTTTAAGCTCCCATTTTAACACTCACTTAAAACATTAAATACCAGATATATATTTGTTCCTTGAGAGAGAGAAAAATAATCTGATTATCTTTTTGTTTAATTGAAGAGCAGGAGAAAACAGACATTATTTTGAAATAGCATTCCAGGAATGTGTAAGAAGTAATTCAATCTTTTGAGACAGGAAACCAGTCATTCAGGGAAAAATCTTCCCTACTACTCTTTTAAAACAAATTCTCTAAATGTAAAAGATGGTAAACATATTTATTATTCCTTGCTTTCTAGCTAAACTCTGGTAACTATCTGCCTAGAAAAAAATAATGTAATAATTACAACAAATTCACTATAGTAATTAAAACTATCACTAATAAATTAATGTTATATAACACATATACAACCTAAATATAAAAATAAATGGATTAAGCAACAAAGATTTTAAACAATGTTCATTAAGATCTTGTTACTATTCTAATTTAAAGAGCACCTAAGTTTTAAATTAATTTGCCACATGCTTTGAGTTCTAAAATTGCAAATTAATTAGAAAGCCAAAAATTATTATGGTCACATTAAGGTTTAAACAAAACGCTACTGGAAAGACTTACCAGGTGTTTTCTTCTTACAAGATATCTGATTTACCATATATAGGTTAAGGAGGTCTAAACTGGCAGTGGAATTTTTTGCAGGGGACAAAACTCCCAGTAATTTCATTTTTGATTTTAACCTGTTCCTTTCAAAGTATTCCTAAAATAATTTAAAATGTTAAAAATTAATGCATCAACCAGTTAATTTAAGGCAGAACCATAAGTCATAAATGCACTAATGGTATTAAATCATTGACTTGATATTTGTATATTTTTGTGACACCACCTTTATATGTCTACATATGAATTAAAATCAATTATAATAACTTGTAACTTGCTTTAAAACTCTAAATTTCACAGCATTTAATAAAGTTTCTCTTGGATTTTTTAATTAGTTTTTTATTATAACATATGATATTTTAAAATGGAATTTTTTTAAAAAAGTATTCCCAGGTATCAAAAGATTAAAAATTATCTATATGCATAATATAATGAAAACATCTGGCCAGGTACAATGACATACGCCTGTAATCCCAGCAGTTTGGGAGGCTGAAGCTGAAGGATCACGAATTCAAAGCCAGCCTCAGTAACTTAGCAAGGCCCTAAGCAACTCAGTGAGACCCTGTCTCTACATAAAATTGAAAAAAAAGGGCTGAGGATGTGGTTCAGTGGTTAAATGCCCCTGGGTTCAATCCCTGGTACAAAAAACAAACAAACAAACAAACAAAAAATCCAACAGGTTAAAAACCTGTTCTTCTACAAAGTATGCTATCCTATAAATATAAAAATGCCTTAAAGGTATGTTGCAGCTAAGTGTCATTAAAAGTCAGCAGAAATGAGAAGGAAGAAAACTATGTAAAAAATATCTGCAATCAATGCCAATTTAGTTCACTGTACTATCCCTCCTTTATTCCTAAAAGGTTGCTTTAAAAAAAAAAAAAGATCTGCACATAATTATCATTCTTCATTCAGCTTTTATTTTCTTCCTGCTTGAACTATAATTATTCTTCCTTTTTTTTTCAAATTACGTCTTTAATTGACCAAATTCAAAAACACTTGATTTGTGTAATATTAACTGAGCAAATATTATGTGCTAGACACTGTAACAAATTGTCTTTAAACATTTTCTATTCCATTAAATAATTCATAATACAATACCATAACTTCCTTAACATGTGAGTAGTTAGAAGGAAAAAGTCTAAGACAGGAAAAATTTTAACATAAGAGTCATATTTCCAAATAATTATATATCATATTTTCAAGAGGGTAAGGCTCATTCACATTAACTTCTTGGAATACTGTCAATTACAACCAACTTTAAAGGTTTTAAAAAACTTGTAAAAACTATAAAAGACTTGCCAACTATCAAACATAATAGTAAATGTTCTCTTATACAAAATATATCATAGATAAAGGGTATGCATACATATTTCATTTGAGTAATGTACAACCCTAAATTTGACTAAAATGTCTTTTAAATGATCATAGTATAATTCAGTAATAAAATAGTAGAAACCTTAGGATGAAAATATTTCTGTCCTTAAAAAAACTGCTGGGCATTGTAGCACACACACACACACATAATCCTAGCAGCTCAGGAGGCTGAGGCAGGAGGATTGCAATTTCCAAGCCATCCCCAACAATTTAGTGAGATCCTGGCTCAAAATAAAAAAATAAATAAATAAAGAGGGTTGGAAATGTGGCTCAGTGGTTTAGAGTCCCTGGATTCTATCACTGGACCAAAAAAAAAAAATTACCTATCAATGCTAGATCTTATACTTGATGGTGTACTGGAATTAAGAATATTATTTCTTGAGGCACTGTATTTTATGATAGATGAAATCATAGGAATCAGAGACACAATTGCAACTGAGTATGACAGGGGATGATATAAAATACTGTGGAAGGTTAATGTAATGGGGGAGGATGGGCAGATGGAGGGCAGGAGGACTAGGATTTTTTTAGGAAATGATTTCTAAGATAGATGCATGAGTCAGAGTTAGCCAAAGGGAGTAGAAATTAAAGGTTCCAAGAATAAGGGGAAACTACAAAGACTGTCTGCAAAGTGAGTAGCCTTGATTCCAGGAAACATCCCAAGAGAGGTTTATCCCTGCTCAAGCTATCATACTACCCATAATCTCTGTTCCTAGAAAGGACAAGAGTATGTCACTGATTTACCTGATATGACCAGGCTCAATTTTTCTATCAAGTCTCACTTGGTAGAAAAAAACTAGGAAACAATCTGAATAAGAAAACTTTCAGAAAATCATAAATCAAATTTTAACTTAAAGCCATTAAAAAAGGAATAACCAGAGAGGCAGAAATAAAATCCAGAGAATGAGTCAAAGAAAGCATGGGATAAGTTTGTTTAAAAATAAAGGAAATGGCAGGCTACATTGGAAATATCATATTAAAGTAAGTTGGACTGAAAAACATTCTTTTGATTCAACAATAGAAGGTTCATTGTTGACATTAACAAGAATTGTACAGTGCAGCAGACTGAGAACTAAATGTGAAGTGAGAGTGAAGGGCCACAGAAGAAAAGGGAAAGGATCCAAAGAGGGCAACTATGCTGCCTTCACTGTCATTCCTTTTCATTTAAATTTTACTACCTTTGACATATTAGTACACTAGGTTTTTGTTCCTTTGTTTTTGCTCCTTTGGATTTTTTGTGAAAGGAATCTTTTTGCTTGTCTTCTTCGGTGAGTGGTTCTTTTGCTCAACATTATGTCCTTGAGATTGATCTACCTAATTACATGAAGTCGATACATACCATTACTTGAATATACCACAATCTGTTTGATAATTCTACTACTAACGGGTGTTTAGGTTATTCCCCTCTCTTATTCCTCTCTCTAGATGCACTTCTTTTTTCTCCTTCTTGTTTCTTTTTGTTTGCTATTTTAACAATAAAAGTGACCCAAACAATCTTATACATTATCTCTAAGTACACATGTATAAGAGTTTCTTTCAGACATATACCACTCAGTACATACATGCTCAACTTTATAACACAATCAGTAAAATAAAAAAGGACAAGTTAAAGCATGACAAAGGACAAGAGACCATTATAGTACTTTAGGCAGTAAATGATGATGTGAATTATAGTGCTAACACTATAATAGTGAGAAGAGGTCAGACTTGAAATATATTTTAGAACTAGAAGGACATAAATAATCAACAATAATCTTTAAATCTCTGTCTGAGAAAAAGTATTTAAACAAACTATCTACAAGGATGAAGACTAAAGAAAGATGATTGATTTGATTCACTTAGGTGAATTTATTAATAGTAGAAAATGTTTCAGAAGGTCACGATTCACATAAGGATAAGACAAGTAAAAATATATCTTCCTCACCTTTTGTTTTCTCCTCTCTTGCTTGATCAGAACCCTGGTTCTAAAAATGGAAGCAAGACAGAAGATACAGTGATTAAAGAAATGACTTTAAAGACAATTGCCACCAGGTGTGGTGGTGCATGCATGTAATTCCAGCAGCTTGAGAGGCTGAGGCACGAGGATAATGAATTCAAAGCTAGCATCAGCAAAAGCAAAGCACTAAGCAACTCGGTGAGATCCTGTCTCTACACACTTTATGTATCTAATAAAAATGATCCATGCCATCAGATATAACTTTCCTATGTTCACATACAAATATATGACCAGTGAAACTCCATATCATGTACAACCATGAGCATGGAATCCTAATAAGTTACACTCCATGTATGTATAGTATGTCAAACTGCACTCTACTGTCATGTTATCTTAAAAGAATAAAAAATGATTCATACCAAAAAATTTGCACATAATCCAAAAAATTTGCCAGTGAATCATCAAGTCATTTGCATTCTACATTGACTATTACAATATTATGCAGCCAATTTACCAAAATTAAATTTTAAAAGGTTACTTTGATCTTATGCAAATGCTCTCCAACATATTTTACTACATGGGAAAGCACTCTAAAACATATATCTGATTATCACTTAAGAATAGAACTTCCATAGAATGGTCCGAATTTAGTTTTCAACTCTTGTTTTTTGGTTATCCACTTCATGAACTCATTCCCAAAGTAAAATCTATATATAGTACTCTTTTCCATGTTAAGATACTTTCTTCATCATATATTCATATTTAAAACTTTCAATACTTTCAAGACTCCATTCATATACCAATCTATTAATGAAATCTATCTGTACTTTATAAAATAACTTTTATTAGAGTTTCTCTAATTTTTGTCTTAATATTTGAAAGATCAGAGACTTAGTGGTAGGAAGAAGGGTGAGAATAAGGATAATCCTTTTTAAACTAATGACTATTTTATCCTGGAAAAAATTTTATTTTTTACAGTACTGGAACTTGAACCCAATGGTACTCTACCATTGGTTACAGTCACAGGACTTTTATTTTTTTATTTTGAGACAGTCTTAAGTTGCAGAGACTGTCCCCTTATGATACTTCTGCCTCAGCTTCCCAAGTATCTGGGATTATAGGTGTGTACCATGACACCCAGCCTGGAAAGTGGATTTTTAAAGAAATACATTACAATCATCTTGTTCAATGAAAGTCTGAATGAACAATATTAGCTATCATTATAGCTATGTACTTTAAAGAAAATCTGGAGGTTTTTTTCATAGAACACTCCACAAGTAATTCATTCTGTATAGTAGGAATATAAATATTTGTTATTCTTTGCTAAGGAAAAAATGAGAGAAGTGTAAAGGGTTAAGGGAAGGAAAATTAGAAAAAAGGGGGAGGGGAGAAAGAAAAAAAGAGAGATGGAAGGGAACCATACTGACAACAGAATTGTGAACTTCTGACCTTTGATAATCTTTCTAGTAAGAAAACATTTAAAAGAAAATGTTGGGCTGGGGTTATGGCTCAGTGGTAGAACATTTCCCTAGCATGTGTGAGGAACTGGAGTCAATTCTCAGCACTGCATATAAGTGAATAAAATAAAGATTCATCAACATCTTTAAAAAATAAAATGCTAAAAAAATCCTTAAAAAATCCAAGATATGGAGTCAACCTGGGTACCCATCAATAGATGAATTGGTTAAATAAAAAAAGTGGTGTATGCATACATTCAGCCATTAAAAGGAACATAATCATGTTATTTTTAGGAAAATAGATGGCATTGAAAGTTATCATGTTAAGGAAAATAAGACAGACACAGAAATACAAGTATCACATTTTGTCTCTCATATGTGGAAACTAAAAAGAAGATGTCTTAAAATAAAAGTCAGACTATTAAAGAAAGGAAAAGGCAGGATGCCTGGGGGAAGGGGGGGGCATATATAGTAAGACAGTAGTAGTAAGGCAGGTATATATGAACAAAGCATGATATATACATGTATGGAAATATTGCAGTGAAACTCATTAATCTGTATAATTAATATGAATCAATAATTATAATAAAAATTTTAAAACAATAAGAAATTTGCCAAAGAATTGTTATAAACAGAACTAAACCATAAATTTTCATGGTGCATACAGGCAGTATTGAAGCTACATCAGAAATTAAATACTATAGGTGTTATATAAATACTGTACATTATCTGTCTTAAATTGCTCTTTTGTTTTTTTCGTGTGTGGTTTTACTTTTTTTTAGTTCCCTGATTAGTTTATATTCCTAGGGGCATGATGCCATGCAAAAGAAACTGTTTCAGAATGTTAACATCTTATAATAATATGTTCAGCAAATAAAATTAGAAAATATAAAGAAAATTAAAAGAGCAATAAATAACTAGCAGATGAAAAATATTCTATGCTTTGAACTACAGTGTAATTAATATTAAACTAAAACATCAACATCTAACAGTATTAGTTAGGGGACTAATTAAGATTCAAGACAGTTATTAGCCTAGAAAACGTACTTGGCAGGTTTATCTGATGTGTTAGGAATAGTAATGATAAATGTCAAAATGCTATGGCTTTTAAATACTTTTCTCTTACAAGATAAAAGTTTTAAAAGATGTATGAATTACAAGAGGAAAGATATTGAGGGGAAAAAATTGTAAAGCCAATAAAGCAGAAATCTATATAATACTCAGAAGAGAGAACCTAATTAAAACAAGTTCTCAGAGACTTGTTAAATCAAAAAAAACTGAATATATTCATAGTTCTATTAGGAATGTTTCTAAAATTTGGAAATATTCATGGACTATTATACACACTTTCATCAAATTTAATTAACTAATATTTAGATGCAACCTGGCTTCTCATTTTATAGCTAAAATCTTGGTAAGTTTTCCACACAAACATTCCTGGTAGTCTTACAGATAATAAGATTTTAATAAGCAACATTATAAATATAAAAAATAATAATTTCCTACAAACATACTTTATGTAAACCTGAAAGAAATCAGGGTAGGCAATGAACGTAGATCATCCTAAGGCTTATGGTTAAGTTTCAAGAACAGTAAGTCTCAGTTGTTCCTATTTAACAGATGTTTCTCACAGACAGAATTCTATGTATTGAACTATTAAAATATTAATATTTCTATTATTGAACTATTAAAATATTAATATTATATTGTCAAATCTCTAAAATATTCTATAGGAAAGCAATTTTAAAAAATGTTTATAAAAATTAAAATTACATATACAGATAACAATATGTCTAGATATCTACATATATTTCTTTTTTTTTTTAATTTTTATTGCTGGTTGTTCAAAACATTACATAGTTCTTGATATATCATATTTCACACTTTGATTCAAGTGGGTTATGAACTCCCATTTTTACCCCGTATACAGATTGCAGAATCACATCAGTTACACATACATTGATTTACATATTGCCATACTAGTGTCTGTTGTATTCTGCTGCCTTTCCTATCCTCTACTATCCCCTCTCCCATCCCCTCCCCTCTTCTCTGTCTACCCCCTCTACTGTCATTCATTTCTCCCCCTTGTATTATTTTTCCCTTTCCCCCCACTTCCTCTTGTATGTAATTTTGTATAACCCTGAGGGTCTCCTTCCATTTCCATGCAATTTCCCTTCTCTCTCCCTTTCCCTCCCACCTCTCATCCCTGTTTAATGTTAATCTTCTTCTCATGCTCTTCGACCCTACTCTGTTCTTAGTTACTCTCCTTATATCAAAGAAGACATTTGGCATTTGTTTTTTAGGGATTGGCTAGCTTCACTTAGCATAATCTGCCCTAATGCCATCCATTTCCCTGCAAATTCTATGATTTTGTCATTTTTTAATGCAGAGTAATACTCCAGTATCTCTGTATCTGTAGATATCTCTATAGAGATACATAAAGAGCTATCTCAACAGATAAAGCACTCGCACTCGTGCTCTCGCTCTCTCTCTCTCTCTATCTCCAGGAACATTAAAATAAAAATTTCTTTTTTTATTAGTTCCTTTTAGTTATATATAATATTATGATTCATTTTGACATAATTATACAAGTATGGAATATAATTTGCTATACTTCAGTCCCCAATATTTCCCTTTTCCCTCCCTGTTCTCCTTGTTCTCTTCTGTCTACTCTACTGGTCTTTCTGCTATTCCTGTATAGTTTTGTTTTTGTTTTTGTTGTTTCAATTAGTGCTTTGTGGATGTACATTCACTGTGATATACTCATATGTATACACAGGAAAGTTAGGTCAGAGTCCACAATTCTTCCCTTTTTCTGTTCCTCCTCCCTCACCCTCAATCCCCTTTCTCTACACCTCTGAGTTTTCATATAAAATATTTTAGAGGTTTGACAGCATAAAACTAATATTTTAATACTTGAATCTCAGTGAAGTATTTAATCTTTCCTATTTACATGGAATCTCCCCCCCACACACACACTATTCTTTATTTTTCTCCCTTATTTTGCTGCAGCTCATATATATATATATATATATATATATATATATATATTTTTTTTTTTTAAATCAACCTTTAACTTTCTGGGCTCATTTCACTTTTCATGATGGTCTCCAGTTTCATCCATTTACCAGAAAATGTCATAATTTTATTCTTCTTTTTTGGATGAGTAATACTCCTTTGGGTGGAAGTAACACATTTTCTTTATCCATTCATCTGTTGGTGGGTACCTAGGTTAGTTTCATAGCTTGGTTATTGTGAATAGTGCTGCTATAAACATTGATGTGGTTGTACTCCTGTAGTATATTGATTTTAGACCTTTGAATATATATGAAGGAGTAGGTTAGCTGGGTCATATGGTGGTTCCATTCCTAATATTTTGAGAAATCTTCAGACCGCTTTCAAGAATGGTTGAACCACTGCAGTCCCATCAACAGTGTATGAGTGTACCTTTTACTTAATATCCTCACAACACAAAATATTCTTTATTTCAACTGTCAGAAGGCTAAACAAAAAAACATGAGCAGGAAAATTATTTCTTGAATTCATGTAATTAATTACTTAAGCTAAATTT